ACAGCAGAAACAAACATGTTTACAGCCGGACACACAAACTGGTCTGTGGAGAGTTTCCTCCTTCATAACGCCTGCTTACATTGTATTGTTAGGGGCGTGGCCTGTTTGACTGACAGGTGAATGGTGACACAGGTGGCTGTAGCTGCAGCTAGGCTAAACCTCAGCCAATTGGAGATTGGACCTGAACTGGACCTCTGGACTGTGTTTGTGCTGTTGGAGCCTTTTATCTAATACTGTGGCTGCTGTGAGGTTGATCACATAGACACGTTCTACATTAGGGTGACTGCCCAACAGGTACGTACAGGTAGGGTATGCAGGGAGGCTCCACTTCAGCCAGAGCTGCTCTGTAGGCTCTGAAAGAGGAGGAACTGTCGATCAAGGTGCTGAACTCCTCCAGAGCCTGAAGCCAAACAGACAGAAAACACTGTTAATGCGCTGAGGCGAACCGATGAAACAACCCCAATGAACTCGATCTGACCTCTGACGTGCTTTTCTGCCAGTCCAGGCGTCGCAGAGGGGCGGAGTCCAGCGCTGACAGGATCGACAGGTACGAGTTAAAGTTACTGAGCTTCCTCAGGTGCTGCAGGAAAAAGAACATGTGCAGTTTGACAAGATGACGTGACAACAGACCACAAATGGACACAGATTTTGTAATGATGCAGTGAATTTGTAAAAATCTGTTTATTGCAGTTGGTCAGTCTGCTCTGATGTAGCTGCTGCAGGGCCAAGACTGAAACCAGCTTTGAATACAAGTGAAGAGACAAAAGGAAGTTTCTACTGCGGACTCTAACGACCTTCATGATCTTCAGGAACTTCAGCAGCAGCCTCTCTCTGTCGTGAGGTTTGTCCTGAAGGATGATGACGGAACGAACCCTGAAATCACCGAAAGAAGGTTCATTAGTTTCAGAAGCTCCTCCCTCTCTGTCCCTGCTCCCGTCTGTTTCCATCGACATAATAAAGGTCAAACCAACTATGATCAGCATGGCACAAAGCGTCATGAACCACCTGGGACAGTAAACCGTCGGGCATTTCTCTTCAGATTCACTGTGATTGCTTCGGTGCCGGACAGGAAAAAAGGTTTCAGAAAGCGATTGTGATTGTGGCATAAGAGAATAACATCAAGAATAACATCATAAAGGCATTTCCTGAGGGGTCTGTGGGCTGTTGATGCTCCAGCACGATGCTGATGGAAACAACGACCTGATGGAGTCACAGATTGTGTTTCTTTGACAAAGGAAGTTGTGTGTCTGCCGGTTGTGTTGATGTGTTACCAGAAGGAGACGTTGTTGAAGTGTTGAGTGAACTCTGTCAGGTTGGGACTCTTCTCCTCATTCTGCTCCTTTGACCACAGCAACACCTCTGGAAGCTGCACAGGTGAGAAGAACCAACTGTCACCAAACCTGCAGCTCTGGCAGGTCGATAAACTACATCATGTAAAAGGTTTTTCTGTGGCAGCAGATCGTGATGCAGCCACGCTGTAAACCAAGAGCTACCACTGCACGTGCTGGTGGAAAACTCAGAGCATCATTTACCTGTTTACCATAAACCAGGTATGTCTGTGAAGGTTCTCAG